TGGCACCGTCGCTGCGCCTGAAGCATGTTCGCCGGTGGCTGCTGGCATCCATCCGCCGGCAGAACGGTGCTACTCTCGCAGCCCTGGAAAGGGAGCTAACTGCAAGAGGTGTCCCCGGCTCTGCCAATCCACAGCACCTTCTGCTCCGTGCTGCTCGCGCCCTCTGCTCAGAGGGCCGGGCCGTCTTTGACCAGGATGCCCTCGTGCCGCTCCCGGTTTAAAAAAGAACGTGCGCAGCTTTTGCCCTGCAACCTCGTTTATATGACTCCACTCCGGGCCTCCGGCCCCTACCGCCCCTCTTCTGGCCCAAACCCCCTTTCGTACCCCTACAAACCTATATTTGGGCCACTTGTCGCTGTTTTTATAATTTATTGTAGCCTTAAGTTACACCCCCCCTGGAACCTCCCGCGGAGGGGGTCGATGACGTGTCCGGAGACCCCCCGACATGCTGGGCGGGGAAGGGTGTGGGAGGCCGCGGGAGCCCCGCAGGTCGATTCCTTCCTTCCTTCCTTCCTTCCTTCCATATCCCGACCTGCCCCTCCTTGACGCGATGTCGTTGCCCGTTTAAAGCTTCCAGCGGGGTCGCCCCATCCCAATGTTGGGATACATGGAGGGAAGGGTTCAGGGTTTACGTGCACCCCCTGCCCCACCCCAAGGCCCGCATATGAGTGAGCAGTGCTTTCTGTGCACCCACCAGCCGAGGTGGGCGCGCGATAGCGTTTACAGCGAAAAAACGCTGAAATCGTTATTCTACATGCTTTTGGGGTTCTGACATGTATCATCTATATCCCCCTAAGCCTTGAACCCTATGTCCCCTTTTTTTGGCACCCTTAGAGCCCCCAGCCCTCCGCCTGCAAGCCCGCGCGATTCTCGTTCTTGGCGTGGCAGTTCAGATCCCTCGGATGGGCCACTCGAGCAAATTTGGAGGGTTTTGGTAGGCCGCCCTTAAAGGTTAAAACATGATGCATGGGGGTATATGAGGGTGGGACTTGGGCGGTTTAGAAATGTGGCTGTTGGGGTTTAAGTTTGATGGCTTCGGAAATCAGCGTTTAAGGGTTTTTAGGGTCTGGTGTTTAGGGTTTGAGGGCTTGGGGAAGCGGTGGACGTAGCTGTCTGAAGCTTAACGTCTTTCGGGGTTTAGGATAGAGGGGCTTGGGTGGGAGCAGTAGCCACGATTGAGGGATCAGAATCAGCACCCGGCAGCTTCGTGGCAAGGCCATGTAACAGCATGGAATTTAGGCCAGGAATATCTATACAGGAACCAAATTAAATGTGAACCCTGAATCCCCATGCTACTGGTAGCTTCGTCGGAGACAGTCCCAGTGACATGCTGTGTCCCCTGCTTTGAAATGGCAAGCATTGCTTGTGGTACCCCTCATGAACCTAGACATGCTCATATGTATGTATATATATATATTCTCTTTGAAATATGTGTAGACATATATTTATACATTATGCCCAGACTCATGCCTTTTTCCTGGACCACCCTACATTCTAAACCCTCAAATCCCTTCCACTAATACAAAACTCCCCCACCCTAGTACTGAATATGCTTTCTGAGGGACCAACCGTAGTGGGTTACACATCTACTATCAAGATCCTAGGAGGGAATTAGTACATAAACCCCTTAATCCCATGGGCCAACACTCAACAATTGGGGAAAAATATTTTTCCCCAATTGTTTAGCCCTTAATCCCATAAACCCTAAAACCCATAAACCCCTTAATCCCATGGCCAAGTGGCACCCTAAACTCTGTGGAGTAGGTCTCGCAGAGGCCAAGGAGGTCCTCGTGGAGCATCTCCCTGGGCTGTCGCTAGAGTTTAGGGTTTTAGGGTTTTAGGGTTTTAGAGTTTAGGTTTTAGGGTTTAGGGTTTAGGGTTTTAGGGTTTAGGGTTTTAGGTTTTTAGGTTTAGGGTTTAGGTTTTAGGGTTTAGGGGAGATTCTGGTGTTTCTCAGTTTACGTGGTAGGGCCTGGGATTTGGAGCTTTCAGTGTACGTAGGTGAAGGGTCAGCTGTTTCGGGTTTAGGAATTTTGGGGTTCAAGGTGGGGTAGTAGGGTCTGGAGTTTAGGCGTGGGGTTGAATGTGTAAGCGAGTTTACCGGTTTATGGTTTAGGGCCGGGTTCCAAATAATCTCCCTGGAGTGCTGCTTTGCCGGGTGTCTCTACAGGCTACAGGTCGATGAGACAGAAGCAGGTTGGAGATTGGGGCCAGGCATCTCCTGCAAGATCTCTATGCCTCATCGCAATGGAAGGGTCCATCAAGAAGTTTCTGGTGCTGGATCAACACCCTTGTAGATGTGATATCTAACGCTACAGCCTAAACAGTGTGTAACTTGTTGTAATGTAGGGCCTCAATGATAGGGCTCTAATAGGGTGGGAATAGCATACTGATAATAGAAATGGCTACATGCCTAGGCTTCTGCGTTACCCCTCTGCTCAGCTAAAATCAGAAGACCCATCCGGAAGATCCATCCAACACTGGCAAAAGGAATCCAAGTTCTAAACCCTGAACCCAAAACCTTAAATCCTAAACCCTAAACTTCTATGCTGCGTTAAGCTGTTCATACTAACACTCCTAACCTTGGTATGCTATATTACTTTTCCAAATATCCGAAACATTTATGGGTCATGTAGGACGTGTACACTTCAGGTTTTCAGGGTTTAAGGCTTTGATATACTAATCCAGAAAACCACAAATGTTCCTATGCCCCCCAGGTCGTGCAGGATTTTTTGTATCAACTGTAGAAGTGCCATGCCAAAATTTCTTATCTTGGGAGCGGCTTGTCAGGCAAGAAACAATGTGAAAGCTGTAAGGCCATCTAAGCTTGAATATAGCAATCCCCCCCCCACCGACCTAACGACAACATTCCAACATAGTACCATTGCGTTGGAGTATTCATTATTGGTGGGGAGGTTTATCGTTGCGGGACGGGCTCAAGAGGGGATTAATCTTCAAACAGCACCCCTAACCCCCTAGACCCCAGCCCCCAAATCCACATGACCAGTGATCATGGCAATCCACACCTTCCAAACTCAAAACCCTGCATGCTGGCTTTGCAATTTGAGCATGACGTAAGGTAGTGTTCTACAGGTCCCTTTCAGGGGCGGGGCTACCTCAAGATGCTGAGAGGTATTATGTGAGAAGCGATGTGGGGGGCAGTATTCTTTGAGCTGAAGCTTCTTCATCTTTTGCTTCTCATCCTCGCTCTCAACCTCACCGCGACACCGCTGGGTTGTAAGTGCTTCGTCCGCATGTTACGGTTTAGAATATACGGTGCATGCCAAAAATCGTCCATGACCCTGTGCTTTATCGGTATTGATGCAGGATGCTTAATCTTTAAACAATAACAACCCCTATAAATCCCCATATAGCGCTGTATCCTTTCATAATCCATTCGATTCTCCATCATCCTTAAGCCCTGTATAACTCCATACAACCAGAAACCCTAAACCTTAAATCCGTACCAACATATAGGTCAACAAGAAGTGTAGGGCTAAGGGATCCCAACACCTGGCTTGTGCATACTTTCCGGGACATGTAAGATCTCTTACTCGTAAGGAACTTAAAGTAAGTTTTCATGATAAGGGTATCTAATGAATAATGGGATTTGCTTATTGTAATGAATTAATTTAAGTTCCTTAGCAGCAACCCAGATTACTTCCCTATACCACTCCCCCAAACAAAGCCTGTCAAGCCACTGTTGATTTTGGTGGTTTGCTACTCGAGTATTGTTTTTTGGTGTTTGAACCGAGTAAGATTAGATTCCTTATATAAACTACTATACCGAAATGGAGTATATAATCTTTCTCTAAATAGGGTACCATAATATCCCCAAATAAAATACTACTCACTTGGGGAGGACGGTGCGTTGTGTCAGGGGGCTGGAGAGGCGGGTTGGCCGTGGGTTGATTAATGCTGAGGACATGGGCTTACTCTTGGGTACTGCCCCCCCCTCAGTAACAGTTGGATGATAACTATAATATGGTTATATATAGCCCTTAGAAGGACCCCTAATATAAACTGTTACTGGGTCGGGGCAGTACCCAAGCTTACTCTTAGGTCTTGGCGCTTAAGTCGTTTGGGGGTTCTTCATGGCTAAAGAACATGAGGACTTGGGTACCCCAAACCTGAAATTTGCCCCAATATGAGTCTCATGTGACTATTGCAGGCCCTGAGCTTTGGGAATTTGAGTTACTAAAATCCTTTTGTTTCCTCAGCCCTAAACCCTATGTTACCAAGGGTTTAGGGTTTGAGGGTTTAGGGGTTCAGGTTTTAGGGGTTTAGGGTTTTGGGGATGCCTTACGTGTCAATGTAGCCCTGAGAGTACCTAAAGAACGCTCAATGCGTTTTCAATATTGGAGCCCTAGACCGTCAACCTCAAGCCCTTACCCCCAAGCCTAAAAGCGATAATCGCTTAATTCTAAATCCCAAGCCCCCCACACCTCTTAACGCCAAACCCACAAGACTCATACCCTAAACCCCCAAGAGCGAAATCTATAAAACGCTACATCCTAACCCTCGATCCCAAATCTATAACCACTAAACTTTATATCATTTATATCCCTAAAACTCAAATGCCTAAGCCCTAAACCCACGATCCCTAAACCCAGAACCCCAAGGGCCAAAAACTTCCCTGAATCCCACATCTCTAAAACCCAAACCCCAAAAATACACATATATCACTGCATATTCCATTTAAACGGGCCACGAAAACTCTAAACCCTAAATTCTGAACCCCTTAATCTCTTAATGTCTGAACCCTTAACCCCAATTCCCTCAACACTAAACCTTAAATTCCCAAAACTCGTGACATCCTTGCAAACTACTATAATGGGGTTATATAGGGTTTGTATTGGGGTATTATATTGGTATAATGGAAAAGAAAAATGGAAATCAAGGGGTTATACAGGGTTTAGGTCTTAAGTGCCTTGGCCCCCCAAGCTGGCCCCACCTGGGATACGGGACCCACGGAGGCGCAAGTGTCGAAGTCTTCGGCTGCTGCCTTCCAGACAGAGTTTCGGGGTCATAGTCCCCCTTACGTAGATGGAATAGTAGGGTTATATTGGGGTTACATAGGGATAATGGAAAAGAAAGTGAAAACTACTATTTAGGGTTTAGGGTTTCGGGGTTATAGTCCCCCTTAAGTAGATAGAATAGTAGGGTTACATTGGGGTTACATAGGGATAATGGAAAAGAAAGTGAAAACTACTATTTAGGGTTTCGGGGTTATAGTCCCCCTTAAGTAGATAGAATAGTAGGGCTATCTTGGGGTTACATAGGGATAATGGACAAGAAAGTGAAAACTACTATTTAGGGTTTAGGGTTTCGGGGTTATAGTCCCCCTGAAGTGGATAGAATATGGGGTATCTGTGGATCTCATTATATTATACCTAAAACCATATTCTATCTACTTAAGGGGGACTCTACAATGGATGCGGTCCTTATTTGGGAATATGTTGGGGGCTATACTAGACTAGCGCATGGACCCATGTCCACCTTCAATGGTGCCTTGGTAAGCCTAATTCTGACGGAGGGGGATGCAAAAGGTACTACAGGTTCTCTTGAGGCTTGGGAAAAGTCACTTCAATATCTCTTAGGTGATGAAAGGGTGCATTGTGCTGGGCATATGCACGGCTTAAATGAAAGAATCTCGATCATTGCTCTGGATCTGTGTACCCCTCTTCCCCTTGGAAAAAGGCCCAAAGTCTGATCATTTTTTATGACTACATCAGTCCGACCACCTTGGCGTGCAGAACCCTACCACTTGAGAAGCGTACCGGTCCAACCCACCATGTCCAAACATCGCGCTGATGCTCAGAAAACTTCTGACCCGAAAAGCGCCAGGTATCCAAACCCGGGCTGTGGTATCACACCTGAAGAAGCTCTGTTGACGGTTTAGGGTGCTGGGCTTATCGAGTTTGATACTTGCGGGCATGACCGAATCCTGATATCTGTAGTAGCAAAGCCCCAGCAAACCCTTCACAATCTTCAGCGAAGTGTCCTCGTAAACAAGTCGTATGAACGCAATTCTGCACCTTGAACCATAAACTGTGACTGAAGCCTGCACCGCAGCAGCTCTGTGAATTCTGGGTAGCGCCCCCCAATTTTAGTCCATGATTGTGAGAATGCTCGAACGCATACTCGCAAAGCTCTCCTGACCCTGCAAGCGCGGCTGAGATGGCTGTAAGTACGGCTACCTAGGGTACCAGCCATAGACACAGTAAGTAGTTGCATGAACAATGATTCACAGACTTGGGGCTCTTCATATGTCTGCCTAGATCTCCGAAGGCCCATCCTGTCCCTGACCCTAAACTCTGAACCCTTCTCCGAGATACTTACCTACTGCTAGTTGGTCGGGAATAAAGGAATATGTTATGTAGGTGTCATAGAGGGGTTAGATTGGGATTCTATAGGGCTTACATACCCTTATTCCCGAATAGCTACCAGTAAGTTTATTCTGAACTCTAGGACTCCAGGAGCTCCAATTACAAATGATATTCACACTGTCATAGGGGGTCTTCATAAAAAAGCTGCGACCTGAAGATGCACCCCGGTATAGTCGAGCCTGTAATGTAGGGTTTAGGCTTTATAGTCCTCAATATCCCAGAGAGCTTGGAAATCCTCAACGCTGGTGGCCTTGACCCAATTCTTGTACTCAGCCGACTGCTGAAAAGTTGGGTTGTACCTCTCAGCCACGGCCATCCGCGCTATAGCCACGCCCTGCAGATTCAGGGCCAAAAGTTGATCGGGAATAAGGTTATTATAGATGTCTTGTAGTCTTTGTATAGTCCCAAAAAATAGTTCCCCGGACCTATATCTCTCACTTCACTGCCAACCATCGGAATCGTAATTCTGCAACCCAAAACTTTGAACACTATAGACTATAGTAGTTTCGATTTCCCCTTTCCATTCAGCAATCGACTACGACTTAGATGATTAGGGAAATTGGGAGGCTCAGGTGTCAGGGGTAGGTTTCAAGGATCAGGGCTTGGCAAAGGTGTAGAGCTTTGATGGTCATTCTTAGGGGTTTTAGGGTTTATGGTCTAGGGTTCAGAGTTTTTAGGGCTTTAAGGTTTAGAGTTTAGGATGAGCCTAGGGTCAGGGCTTCAAGTCCTACATGTGTTTTAGGGTATAAAACCCCACTATTCCAACCAAAAACAGATGCAAAATTACATGTGTCGTCTACGCCCTATATAGACCGAGAAAATGAGAAAGCAACGTATAGCAGCTAGATCATTCCGAGTATGGGTTTTGAGGACCTAACTCCAACCCGAAGCCCTGAATGCTATACCGGCTATACCTAAGCCGCGCACCCGAAAATTGCAACCCTAACCCCCAAAGCATAAGCCCCAAAACACCAAATCCGAAGCCCAGCCTTAAACCCTCAACCCTAAACCTCGGATACTGCCCCTACGCAGAAACAGTTAAATACTGTTATATATCAGTTATATATAGCCCTTAATAGGACCCCTAATATAGACTGTTACTGGGTGAGGGCAGTACCCAACCTAAACTCTACCACCTTTAAGCCTAGATTGCTGTGTCGAGTTGCCATGGTCTTTACCAAATCTTCCAGCAGTCGGGCATTTTGGAACATCAGGTCTCCGACTTGTCGGATCCTAAAAGGCTTGTAGGTTTCCATCAAGATTTAATCCAGACCCGTGATTAATCAACTCCCTCCCCTTAATGAGGACTACAATTGGGATCCCAATACTAAAGCCCTTAAACGGAGGGGGCGCATTAATCATGGGTCAACATCAGGGTGTAAGGTTTCCGGGGTTCCCATTATAGTAGTTTCCATTTTCGTTTCAATTATTCCCCAATATAACCCTATATTCTATCTACTTAGCAGAACCTATAAACCTTGTCATTTCCAGTTGTGTTGGAAGGTGGTCAAAGATATTGTCGCTTTTTTGGGCACACTAATCATAGGGGCCGTATCATATTGGGAACCCGCCAAAATACTATTTGGCAGCAAACCGTGCTATGGTGAAGAGCTCTTGGTAGACGCCAATAGAAATCATACTGCACTTATCCTTATTCCGGGGATGTATTCTCGGGGTTCCTAAGAAGGCACTGGGGAAACCTTGAACCCTTTATGTATCCCCTATTGCCCCTAAGTTTGGGCAATCCTCCAAGTTGTCTGGGTTAAGGGCTGAGAGCTAGGATTTTTTAAGTTTTAGGGCTTAAGATCTTGAGAAGTCTTGCGTTTGATGTGTTAGGGTTTAGGGCATAGTTATTCCTGTAAGTTGAGGGCCAGGGATTCTAGAGATTCTCTTGGTTCTCAAGGAAGATCACCCAAGTGGTCAGTAGTTCAGGCTTTTGGGGATGGTCAGGTTTAGCTTTCGGGGGTTCATGAACCCCAAGCCCTATAGTCAGTGGATAGAATATGGCTTTGGGTATGTTATAAGAAGAACCCGACATACCCACCTTCTATCTACTTAAGGGGGACTACATGGGTTCAGGAACCATCCAGTATCTCCTGATGTGAATTCTTTCTTTTCACGATTTAGCGATCCTTTTGGAGGTTTAGGGAGTTACCTCGGAGTATGTAGGAATTATGTCGCCAAGTGCCCAAATACGTACCGTTCTGGATCAGACGACAAGGGACCCGTGAGTTTGAAAAGCTTTCAGATTTGGTTTCATGGGTCTGTTTAAAACTTTGCATGATGTTGCCATAATTTGGAAATCCTGGTATTCATTCTATATCTAAATTTCCTAACTGCAAACCAGTTGTGTAAGGTTGAGGGTTCGGCATGCCAATGATCTGTTCCCTTGTGCAGCCCTTAACCTAGCACCACCAAATGCCCAAACACTGAGGAATGCTGAAGATGACCATGTACCGGTTTCAAGTTTAAGGGTTTAGGTTTTAGGGTTGTGACGAGCAGTAGGATTCGACTGAGGCAAGGAATTGCTGCAAAGATCCCGTATTGGAATAGGAGCCAAACCGTGCGGACCTCTACAGAAATCCTCCATGTGAGGAAATCCAAGCACCGCAATTCTGCAATTCTAGGAGCCAAGCAACGGCATTGAAGAGTCAACATGAAGTAATCCACTCCCCCCAATATTAAAACAACACAATCCTTTCATATTAAGAACTCCCCATTTTACTCTTGATTCTCCATTATCTGCAAACGGCATACCCTATCACTCCTTCAAACGGACCGATATATTTAGGCTTTGACCTTTACCGGAGCTGCGGGAACCTTTGGGCTTAGTGCTTAGGGATGCAGATGATGTGGCACCGTGCAGCTTGAACATTCATGACCTGCTTGACAGCCCTGAACGCCTGACCCACCGCTTGTGCCCTTCTATATATATATGTATATATATANNTATATCTCTCTCTCTCTCTCTCATCCTACGTTTCCTTAACTAACCCCGAAAGTAACGGGAAATACTGTGGCACGTTCCCTTCAATTTGACCCCACAACCCACACAACTAGAGCATTTATCCGATAACAAACCAGGAGATATCTGGGCAACATCCTTAGCATTAATGAGGATCCATTAGCCTTCAACCAGAAACCCAAAATTGTATCAAACTTCCATAGGTCTAAAATTTATCAAACCTCCCTACCAGACCCCTGGGAGGATCTAGAAAGTAGAACTCCCATTATGGTACCTTATACTTCTATTGGGTAATCTCTAGAAGTCTTTCGGGGGGTTCTACTTTCTAGATCTGCCCAGGGGTCTGGGACAGGGTTTAGGTCTTAGGGCTGTTCCATGAGTTGCCAAGCATCATATGAGCCGCGTCATGTCCTCGCACCATAGAGGTGACGGCCAAGGGTTTACTGGGTTGCTGTTAAGGAACTTAAAGCTAAGTTACCATAATGGTTACATATAACAAAATATATGATTTCCGATTTCCTCAAAATAGTAACATAAATTAAGTTCCTTACATCCCTACATTACCACAGTTTCCATTTCATTTTCCATTTTTGGGGGTTCCATTTTTTGATCCTTTAGGGGGTCTGGGCTAATGCAACAAGAGCCAAAGGCTAAACAAACCCTACGCCACAAAGCAAATTGTAGACTCTACTAGGCCTACACATCATGAAAAAGAAGTATAAGCCCTAGAAAAACTTTCATCCTCGCAAAATCTAAACAACCCGAGAAACTCGTGATCCCTAAACCCTCTCAATTCTGCACACCCTGAGCCGTACAAATCCCACAAACCTGCAGAGACCCTCTAAACCCGTTCAAGCCCTATGAAGCCCTAAAGAGTCTACAGGCCCCAGACCTTCAATTTAGCTCTGAGCTCTAAAAACCCTAGAAATCCCAAACTCCAAAACCCCAATCCTCAAACCCACAACAGTGCAAATCCTCTAAACCGCAAAGCCCATGTAAACCCTATGAATCAAGCATAAACCTCATAAAGCATATACGCAACATACCTGTGCTTATATGTATCTCAGGAACTCTACCAACCCTACAAGACTCTATAAAACCCTATTTTGGGGTTGGGAGTATAAGCAGCACTACGCTCCTTAAGCCCTGTATACGGTCCAAACCCCACAGACCTTACAAATCCTGTGATCGCTTCAAGCTCTACAATGGAGACCCATGATTAACAACCCCCCCGTAATATTTGGACCCCTATGACAATCCCTATTAATGGAAGGGGCTTATAAATCATGGGTCTACATTACTATACACCCTTCCAATCCCCAAACACCACCATCAACCAAACCTCCGCAAACCCTGTACACCCTACAAACCCTCTCAACCTTGCACTCCACAAATAACCATGACTAGTCGATCTAAAACTGAGGTTCAGAAAGCCTAACTCATCTACAGTACCAGGAAGAATCCTGCCAACCCTGACGCAATGCCCCCATAAACTCTATGATGCCCCACCCCCTACACCCTCTTAAATGCTATGATGGCTTCAAAATTCTATACACCCCAACAAACCCAACATCATGGAGCCAACATGGGCTCCTTCAGAACATGGGCCCCAACAAATTATGCCCTTCTTGGTTAATATGGGGTTTCCCGAAATTAGAGGTACCTTTTTGGGGGACACTCTAATAAGGACTATAATCTATATTATGAAGGCTTGCTAAAGCCTCAGCCCTGAACCCAAGACGGAATCCCTGTAAGATGTCCGAGGGGCTGAGGGTGACACTTCCTGGCGAACATTCCGTTGGCTTGTGTCCAGGTTCCCTGACGAACTTGTCCTAAGGACTTCAGGGCTTTTGGGTTTGATGGCTTTCAGGGCTTAGAATTTTAGAGTTCAGGATTTCTACAGGATCTTAAGGATTAGAGTTCTCAGGTCAGGATTTTGAAGGTCTTGGCTTAGGGTTGTAGGGTTTGAGGCTTTCGGGCTGCAGGGTTCGGGCTCTAGGGTTGGTTGCCTATGTCTACCAAGCTGAACTGCTCAAAGATCGGGTCAAGCCTTCAACGCTGCTACGTCCAAACAAATGGTATGGAGCCTAAACTTCTGGTCCTAAGCTGTTTGTGACAAAACGAACCTTACAAATGCTCATTACTTACCTCTGGTTTGCAAGGAAAGCAGGAATGGATGTTTTAGTAACCCCATATTATATAACCCCTCAATATTATATCGTACTTGCCATTTTCTTACCATTCCCCCATTCCTTGCTAACCAGCCTTAAGGTTAAGCGCCTGAGGGTCCAGCATAACGGTAGGAGTTTACAGTATGTTTCTGGTGCAGAGCCAAACCGAAAAGCTCGACTCCCAAAATCCAATCCAAAGATGCTGAGGCAAAGGCCTGCAATCATGGTTGCCAAAACCTTATAGTCCCCCTTAGGTAGATAGAATATGGAGTATATGGGGATGTTATTACAACATACCCAAAACCATATTCTATCTACTTAAGGGGGATTGATTATACACCCTAAACCCTTGTACCAGCCATGACCCACTTGTTCTCAAACCGGTGCCAGGGATCCTAATCCCCGAGCCCAAAATCCTAAGCCCCACAGAGCCCGGAAATCACACAACCTGGGACTGCCAATTTCCCAAGCCTTACACCCAAAGCCCTACAACCCTCAATGCCGAAACCGCAGCCCTAAACCCCCTATGGCCCCAAACTCCAGCCCAAACACCGAGGCTTTCCTAGCCCCAAGCCTACTTCGAGGTTCAGGCTTTGAGGATTTAGGGAGTTTAGCGTTCAGGGTTTGGAGCTCAGGTTTTTCTTTTGGCTGTTTGACTAGGGTTTTGGGATGAGGAGTCACAAGTATTGCCCGGCTGTTGAGGAACAGTTTATCACTGTCGGCCATGATCTTTTGTCTTTAGGCTTACTTGCTTCAGGGGGAACGGAGGGCCCCCAAGTCCCAAACCCCTCCTAAACTCCAAACCCTGAATTGTACAAGCATATAGGGATCATTAAGGGCTCCGCTCCCCGACTCCCCTGTAAGCACCTCCCCACATTTGCTAAAGGATCCAAAAATGGCCCCCCAAAGCGACCCCACGGCTACGTTGGGGCACCGAGGTGGTTATTGGGAGGTTCCATTTGTTGGATCCTTTAAGGAATCTGGGTGCCCGTTTAGTGCCAGGTCTCATACATCGCGGCCAAGATTGAGAAGGCTGTCTCACCTTGGGGTCCAATTCAAATGACATAGGGTGTAGGGTTCGAACTACGAGGCGTGGGGCTTACTTTAAGCCCGTAACCCTAAGCCTAAACCTAGACCCCATCCATACCCTAGTCCTGACTTGCCCTAAGTATCGGTGAACCTCAAGCGTGTTTGTACCTCGCCTCGGCAGATTGCGCCGCCAGGACACTTGGGATTTAGCCATGCGATTTAAGGTTTGGAGTTTTAGCCAGATGCCTAGCGTGGACAGTGCCTCTAAGCCATCTGAAGACCCTGGACTCCTAAGCTCAACCTAAATAAACCTCAAGCCCTAGGCCCCGGATGAATTCCCACATCCAGCCTAAACCCCTAAACCCCCAGCCCTCAATCCTTAACTCCTAAAACCGGCAGCCGGTCGTCATGCTAGGTCGGATACTGCCACTATCTCACCCCATAACAGCCACCCCAATATTGTACTAGGAGGCATCTTCTAGCTGTATTGAGGACCGGCCTTACAACTGATGACAGGGTGGGCCCCAAATTTCGGATAACATCTACGCTTTGGGATTGGGTTGCGGGGTTTAGGGGTCTAGGGCTTTAGGGTTCAGGGGGCTTAGGGCTCAGGGTTACAAGTCTACTTGCAATCTTTAGGACTTAGTAAATACGTCTAACGTGTAACCCTACTTTTCATCCCCCTAAATGTGACTCCACTAAGAGGTAACGAAATAACCCCAGTTATAAGTAGAAACTAGATGCCTGAACCTTTGAGTAGGGGCTTGAGATTAAGGATTTATGCTCTGGAGCCTCCGCTTCGAAGGTTTCGGTGGGGCTTAGGAAGTAAGGGCTACATCCCGATCATCTCGGGATCTCTCAACAAACATGGGCCTAAATAGGGCTATATAAAGGATACATATATACATATACATATATAGAGTTAGCATGACAAAATGGTACTTATTGTATCATAATACGGAGTATTTTAGGTGATATAGGAGCAGCTCTTGAGGGATTCTGGGCTCTTGGGCTTCGGGTGTACGGTCATGCAAGATTTCGTTCATCAACTTCATCATAAGGATTCTACTATTGGATGCATTCCGAGGGGTCCATACCCATCTTCCTTGGAAAATGAAAAGACGGTATGCAATATAGTAGTTTCCATTTTCTTCCCCATTATCCCACTATAACCATCATATAACCCCTATATAACCCCATATATCCCATTAAAGGGACCTAGGGTTTCCATTTTCTTTTCTATATAACCTCAACCTTAATATAAACCCCTATATAATCCCATCTATCCCTTTAAAGGGACCTAGGGTTTCCATTTTTTCCATTACCACAATTTAACCCCTGGCGTGTCGCCAGGTTGCTGATGAAAGGAAAGCTCGAGGCCTTGATGCTACCCTGGGCGGCGGGGCTCTCAAAGGAAGAAGTATATTGGGGTCATATTGGGGTTATTTTGGGGTTATATTGGGTTATATTACGGTCATACGGAGGTTATATTGGGGTTGTATTGGAGTTGTATTAGGGTTATATTGGGGTTATATTGGGGTGGTATTGGAATTATATTGGGGTTATATTGGGGTTATATTAGGGTTATATTAGGGTTATATTAGGGTTACATTAGGGCTATATTGGGGTCGCATTGGGGCTATATTGGTTCTATTGGGGTTATGTTGGGGTTATATTGGGGGCACATTAGGGTTATATTGGGGTTATATAGGTTCAGGGTGAAGTTTGTAGGCTTTCTAAGGTTTGAAGCTTATGTGGGGCGTAGAGTGTTGCCCTCAGCTGGATACCTATTTGATACGGAGGTTTAGAGGCCAGGCAGACCGTATGGATGACAAATCCTTTCACTAATCCCCTTTCCTGCTAGTAGCCTCCGAAAGACTGTGCATTTTCCGAATCACAGCGGTACCAGACTGGGAATGCATGTCTTGGGGGCGGGGGTTCATCTGTCAAGGGAAACGGTTATGCCTTTGAAGGCTTAGAAATTGCAAGCCGAGTCTCATTGACAGCACCAAACTTGTCGACTATGTGGCAGGAAAGATTCGGCAAACCCTTCGATAGACCCTCTGAAGGTCCAAACCGTTAGAGGAACCGAGGAAGGACAGAAGGGTTCTTGAAGGAGACGGCCACTCCGACGGCCGTCCCTAACCATACACGAGTGCTGCCATGACCATCTTCAACCATAGTTGTAGAGTATAGGGTTCCACCGCAAACCCCTCATAAACCCAACACATTGCAGGAGCTGTAAAACCATGGTGCAACCCACTTACACGCTCTACGCATCTTGGGGCTCTGCTAAACCTGAAACCCCAAAAACCCAAAGCCCTAAACCCCAAAAGCTCTAAACCCAAAAACCCTAAAACTCCTTTAGCCTTAAACCCTGGGATCCCCCATTAAGCCCACGACCTCCGGAACTCACATGAGAATTTCTGAAAACGCGGGCCTCTTAGGGACCTTGAAACTATAGAGGGGGTTATAAAGGGGATCTTACAAAAGACCGATTATATGTAGTGATTTTGGGTTTAGGATTTTAGGATTTAGGGATGTTGTGAGAAACTCCTACATGCCAAGCAAACTGCACGCAGAGCGAGTATGTACGCTTTCTCGGTGGAGGCTGCGGCATTGGCGAAGGCAGTAATGTAGGGGTCCAAGGTAATTACCAATCTTGAGGCTTGTTTAAGGTACCCAGACTTATGCAAGAAATCTGCGACTGTTGCATAGGTAATTATCCCTACATCGCCCGTATATGAAACCCAGTTTCCATTTCATTTTCCGCTTCTGTTTCCAATATCTCTAAACCTAATCCCTAAACCCTAGACCGTAAACCTGTTTCTACAAGGGCTGCCCCAAACAGTGACCTGGAAACTGCAAACCACCCCCCGTTAAGCCCTACGGTCAAGGTTTTGGGTAAAAATCCTGCATGACCCTGAGTGCCCTAAACTGGGAATTCTGGTACCCTAGTATATTAGGTGTCATGTGGGATTCAGTACTCCCAAGGTTTTGCAGGTGCTTTGAATTTCTCCCGAGTGCCTAGTAGGATATGGGAGTTTCTGAAAAACATCCCCTGACAAGCACCCCAGCAATCTCCTTACAAAATCAGTGCAAATATTTCTCGAACGTCCTCAAGGGCTTTGTTTCTGAGAAACTCCCCTATAAGCGGTCATTGATATGGGGACTACTATGAGGATCTTGACCCTAAAGCCTAAACTTTACTTAAACCCCAACCCTTGCCTCCCAAGCGGACTGTATGGTCTGAGAGTTAAGGATGAAGAATCTACAGTGGACCGAGGAAATCTCGCACCACCGTCCTCAAAGAAGCCTTTTTCACGGACTAGTATAACTCCTTTTCACCCTAGACTCGAAAGTGCCAGCTATACCCCAGGAATGAAGGCATTTTGGGGATCGTAAGTGGTGCCAGATTTCCGTTAACTGACAAAACAGCCTATACTCAGTATACTCCCACACATAACCTGAGCAACGGTTACTATTTTCCCGAAGGGTCCAGGTCCTCAAATAAAGGGTTTTAGGTCGCAAGTACTAGAATCTGAATGGTTGTTTGTCCCCAGAACAAAATGCGTTTGGGTCCTTGGACCCTTGATCTGAAGACTCCAAAGTACCCTAAACCCTAAACCCTAAGCCCCACACGCTGTATTTGATATGAGAATTCTATGCCGGAATTTTAGGTTGGCCCTGGATTCCGGGTTGCGGCTTCCGGGCTATCCCTGGCAGGGTTTCGATTTCGGGCGATTACTTCATGTAGGGTCCAAGGATTCGTGCGCAGTACTTAGGGAGGATTTTAAGCCCTAAACCCAAACCCTAAACCCCTAAACCCCTAAACCCTAAACCCCGGTTGCCGCCTGGTCGCGGCTCAGGGTTGGGAGTGCAGGGTTTCCCTAAATCTAAAACTCCTTTCAGGGCTGGGTGCTGCGGATACCAGGGTTTGGGGTTTTTGTTAGTTCACGGCTTCAAGGCCCCAGTTTACGGATTCTAGGGGCTTTGCGTCTAGGGTGTAGGATGTAGGGTCCAAAGGTTAGGGATGAAAGTTTGAGCGTTAAGTTAGGTTCCCCACCCACGACTTTACTTTGGGCCCAGTCTACTTATCAGATCTTCTTTTGGCGGCGCCTCAAGAGATCAGATTCTCCTCTCCTTTGGACTCCCTCTTAGGGAGAAGATAAGGAACATATAGAGCTTAAAAGGCGTGATCGGGATTCTAAATCTGCGGGGGGATTTGGGGGTAGTATTGTAATCAATGGTCTTGGTTTGCAGCAAAGTGGATGCACAGTACCCTAAACCCTAAACCCTAAACCCTATGTAGAGACCCGCAAGCCTGGACCCACAGCTTGAAAACTCTTAAACCTGAAGCTCTTGACCTGTGACATGCCCCAAAATCCTGAAATACCACTCTAAACTCTACACCCTAAATCCCTAAAGCCCTCATCCCTAATCCCTAAATCCTAAACCCTTGCCCCTGGTTGACGGTTTAGTGTTTAGGGTTTAAGGTGCAAGGTCTAGCAGGTTTCGGGGGTATCCCCGTATTCTGAAACATCCGGATGCTTATGCGACACCTGCTTCAGCACGCGTGAACACACCGAACACTTAACACTCAACCACCTGTTCTACACCCACGTACATGCTTTGCATAATCCACCACAGACCTTGTGCAAACCATTGCGTCTGCCCGCAGGAATGGCTCCACGAAGACTTGAAATGACCAGCACCGTGGCGCTGGTATGCACTTCGGAACAATGCTCTTCCAGCGCTTTTTGAGATATGAGTAAAGATGAAAACGCAAGACTTGAAAACCTTGATCTGCAATACTTGAACCCGTGAGCCTCACCTGCAATAATTGCTTCGTGGACTCGTTTTTACGGATTTTGGATCCTATCGGGAAACCTTCTGATCCTTGCAAACCCTACGGCTAAATCCTGAATCCTAAGCCCTTATGCGCCCTAAACCCTGATAACAGCCTGAGAAAGCTTTGCAAGTC